GCATTATCATTTAATTATATTAATTTTGCGCAGCTGCCGCCAAACAAATTCCGATGCCTTTTATAGAATCAGTTTTTGTCTATTTAGGCAGCAAATGCAAATCCCTCCGTAGTTTTTCCGCATTTGATAAATTGTTGATGAATTTCCGAATGTAATTGGAAAACGATTTGAAATTTTAATGACAGTGAAAAAGAGGCCAAAACCATTTCCGAGCCATGCCCCCAAAAGCTATTTATTTGTGGTTTGCTTTTTTTTTGTGTATTTTTTCCACCCAAAGAAAAATATGTGGCAGGGCGTGTGGCTGCTGTCATCACACGAGACGAGGCGGCAAATAAATTTGATTTGGTCAAAATTGTTTGCATTGAAAAGCGTCACAGCGAGGGGCGGGGTATGAATAAAACCAATATCAGGGGGACCATAAAATACGCGTATTCCCCCAGTGGGATTGGGGATGGTTTTCAATGATTTTTTTCTCACTAAATATTCGTGGGGGACAGGACAGAATATTTAATAGGATAATTTGTATGATTTGTGATTGTGTCGACCGTGGCAGAATGCGATTGGGGGGAATGTGAGAGAAGGAAGAGCCAAACGTTTTGGGGTATGCCGGAGCAGAATTAATCGATAAGTAAGCGGATTATGTAAACGATACCCAAAGTATCGATAAGTACAAATGAAATCTCGCCGGTTTCCCCAGTGGATTTAATCTTCGGTGGATTAGTTTACACGAAGCTGTATCGGATCGAAATATTCGAATGCAAACTTCAGCAGAAAATAAAATAAATACGGTAAACCCCACAACAAAAAGCCAAAGCAAATCAAACAAACATTGCAGTTACAGCTGAGAGCTATATACACATCGACATGAGCAGAGACGGGAGGGGGGAGGTACTGCCGATAAGCCCAAGGATGCCACAAGGATGATAGCGGCACGGTGTCCTTCCTTCAGACCAGCGGCATTCAATTCAGATTTCATTTTTGGCCCGTCCCAATGATTTTTCCATTCTCTGGGCTGCCTTTTGCCGCTTGCTCTCAGGCTTTATCTCTTTCTTTCGCACTCGCTGTGAGTGTGCTGTGCCTCTTCCTGGCGTCTGCCTTTTGTGTGTCCGATTCGGTTCGGATTCCGATTCCGATTCCGATTCGGATTCTGTCTGGTCTGGCCATTTGGTGTCCTCCTCTGTCGACCGTTGGCGTTCATTTCAATTAAATGCAAATCTCAACGAGGATTTTTTCTTCGTTATTGTTGCCGCTTTTTTTTTTTGCGCCTTTCTGTATAGAGATGTGTGGCTGAGGAGGCTGGAGAGGTGAGTTGTGTGTCGAAACGTTGGCAAAAGTCGTGGAATGTTTTTCACGCATCGCTGCATTTTGTTTTCCGGCAAGTGAAGCCGCCGCCGCCGCCTTTTTCTTCTCCTTGCCGTATTTTCGTTTCCGCATTATTTTTTATGACGGCATCCAGGGATTTTTATTTGGTTACCCCAAGGGCCTGCGACTGGACAAGGTGAAATTGTACACAATAGAAATGTGTTCTCTGTCTCTCTGCCGGTTGGATGGCTAAAGTGGAGATTATTTTATTTCCTGCAGATACATTTTTGATGCATTTTAAAGCTCAAGAATCTGCCAGAGCAAGAGCCAGAGCGAGAGCCATAAGTTTTTTCTGTGCACCGGAAACTTTTATTATTGACAGACTCACAGACTCGCTCTCGACTTTCTTGCATTTCTCTGGGCAGCACTAAAAGCAGCATTTGGCTTGCATTTTTGAGCATGGTTTTTGCATATTTAATGTTTGCATTGTTGTCTGCCTGGCGCCCCGCCCCGCCCCTACAGTTGCAGATTGAAGTTTCACCTGTGTGTGGGGAATGGTCATCACACCATGTCGGGTAGAGGCATTTATCGCTTTGCGTTGCGGTGCTGCTTGTTCTGCCCGTACAAATGAAAAATTCGTTAAGAAAATATTTAATAATCAGCTTATTTTGTACCGCTGCCAGTCGTTGCCGTCTCTTTGTGTAATTTGTGTAGGAAATTGTCGAGGAAATGCTTTAGCACGGAGCGCAGAGCAGAGAGCAGAGAGCAGAGAGCGAGAGGTGGTCCTTTTTCTGGTTCCTGGTCGGAAGTTGACCATTAAGTTGGTTGGTTCTTGCACGGTCACGTCCCGCAAGTCAATGTCAAACATGGAGGACTCGACTCTGCGACTCTGCGACTCTGCGACTCCACAACTCGACTCTGAGGCTCTGGCGAATTTTGTAGATTTTCGTACGTCAGCCGGAGGAATTTTATTTTATTTTATTTTTTATTTTTGTGTTGAATTTGCATAATTTCGAGCAGAGGCCGCAGTCAGACATAGACGGTGGGTCCCAGGTCCAGTTGATTAAAGTGATAGACTCTGTTCTGTCAGTGTTCTTTTCAGTTTCATTTTTATTTTGCATTTCCCTCTTCTATGGTTTATTTTTTCACGTTTTGTTCTGCTGTCGTCTGGCCCGCTGTCCTTTGTTCATGCATAGTCCATAGATGTGTGTACCATGGGAGGACTATGGGGAGAACAGGAATTGGATCTGGGACCACCTCTGTGTGTTACCCCCACCGTGGTGCTTTTTTCGAGTTTGCAGTTTACTTTTGTGCAAAGTCAAGGTAAATATTAGATTTTTGGTTGTGGCATTTTTCCGCTCTTTTTCGGGGTTCCAGTTTCCAGTTTCCCGGTTGTCGCCATCTATGTGGCTTGGTTACTGCTCTCTCTCCCTCTCTGTGTGTGTGTTGCTTGTATTGTATGTATGTAGATATAGGTAAAATAAATATTAGCTTACAATTTTGGGCTTACAAAGTTTTGTTGGCCAGGTCGACAAAAAAGGCCCGCGGTGGCATTAAACAAAAAGTTGGACCTGGCATGCAGCAGCGGGGGGTGAAGCGTGAATGGGTCTGCGGCAGCGGAGCAACAAATGAGAGTGATTATCATGCAAATGAGAATGGAAAGCAGCCCAAAAGTAGAGCATGAGGCAGGGTATATTGAATCAGGGAGGCAGGGAATCGCTGGTTACCAATGAAGTTTAGCTAGACTTGACAGAAACAGATCCTACCATTGAACTGCATTTATTTTTAATAACTAAAATATAGTTTTTGTATTAATATGATTTTGTGCAATATTATTTCTGTGTCTACAAGGCCTTTTCCTTGAAGCATTCTAAACACTTGTCTAACATCTTCTCGCGTGTTCTGTTTCTCCTGTCTGCCTTTTCCTTTTCTTTCTTATATACCCTATATCCACAGACTGTTACTCCTCTGTGTCCTGATTCCTCTTTGCTGTTGCTTTCCTTCTTTATCCGCCTGTCTTTTCCTTGGGATTTGCCCTGAGACATTTTTCATGTTTTGTCTGCTTTAATTATTTTTTCATTCTCTGTTTTCATTTGGCGACTTTGTTTTCCTTTTCCCCTTTTCTTTCTATCGCTTCCGTCGTGTTTTCAGTGCTTGTTGCTTTTGTTACTTTTAATTAAAGCGAACAAAAATTATAAAGAAAATGTCGCTTCATTTGTACAACTTTCGCTGTAGTTGGCACACCCCACACTACACTCCTCCACAATGCAGCCCACAGTGTCTTTTTTTTTTTTGCCACATGTCCCATGTGTCACGTTAAATGTCAAACAAACAAAAGGCTTCTTCTGTGCCGCGCATAAAAGCTCCTTTTTTTCTACCCATTAATTTTAGTATTTCTCCTTTTCAGTTTTTTATCCGACTCCCCATTGAAATGAAAAGTGGGCGGACGGCGGACACGGGAAAAAGAGAGTCCAAATGTGCTTTCAATAACCAGGTAGCGCATCCCCGTACGTAACGTACCCCAAAGCCATGAAAAGAGCTTCGAATGAGTGCAGAAAAACCAAACCGGGGGAGAGCCCCAAAACTTTTTCACTCTTTTGAGGTTGACCGAACATTTGGCTGTCAAAAGTTAAAAGCCCTCGGAAAAAGCGAAAAAGTTGAAGCAAAACACACACACCCACACCACACACTGAAAATTTAACTGCTGCAACATCAACGAGCGAATGTCTAATGAGTGGCACAGGACACACGTCACGCTTTTAAATAGATGGTATTCGAGTTGATTTTATAGTAGTTAATGAATGTTTATAATGAATAAAAGATTGCTTTGATCGGAGTGCAATGTAAACGCTGATTACCAGCTTCCAGCTTCAATTCAGACAGTGTATCAGGCAGAGAGCATCACCTTTACTTTGTAATCCCCTGTGGAGTCATTCCACCTCCTGCTCTTTGTTGGCTGTATGGGACAGACAGACAGATAAACGGGCTACAGTTTGTGGCAAGTGACAACCATCAACGTTTTTCCCCATCCCCATCATCATCAGCATCAGCATCACAGTGGGTACAAAAAGTAAATGCGAATAGCCAAGTAAACAGCTGACAAAAACTTTACTCCTCCCTGAAGGACCAAAGCGGGGACATGATGAGGTGGCTGTGGCTGTTGCTAAACGGGTGGCCATTCTTTGTGCTGTTGCTGCCCGCATTGCCCACTTACCTCTTGCCCCTAACCCCTTGCCGCTTGCCCCGAAGTCAGCACTGCTCTGTGGACTTTTATGCATATCAAGCTGGAAGGATCTTCTGCACTCTCCAGTCGCCATTTTCATACCCAACTTCTGCTCTTTGCCGCTGACTCCGTCTCTGTCCCGGCAGCTGCATTGTTTTCCTGTGCGACGCCATTTTGCAGCATTTTACTTGCAGTCTCTTGCTCCCTGTTTCTGTTTATCTCTGCTCCTCTTTTTCCATTCGCCTGTTTCCCTTTCTTCTCAACTGCTTTTTGTCGCCTTTAACGCCGCCTAATTGCCTAATTAGGCATTTGCATGCTGAACCAAAACCATCTCCATCTCCGTCTTCCATCTACCAGCTACCATTCCCCCTCCACCTCCACCTTCCTGGCAACTTATTCGGAGTCAGTCCTCCTTTTTATCCTGTTGTCTGATGCAAATTTTGTGTATAACTTTTTCGTTCTCTCTTTTTTGCAGGTCCCGAAGATATACTGAAATTTCTGGGAAACGAAAGTGTTGTGGATCACTTTAAGCTCGTCACCAAGGATGGCAACAGTCTGCTCATCGGTGCCAGGTAAGTGGTTCATGTTTTCTATATTTAAAAGTTAAATGAGAGTTCAATTCAGGTACTTCCATATTGAATTTTATATATTTTCATAATGGGTAGAGCCTTTATTAGTATAAGTAACCTGCTGGCAGCTCATGCTTCACATTGTTCAAGTTTCGGGCCCCCATATCGCACATGCATGTATTCGATGTAAGTCTGCTTGAGAGCATTTGTTTAACACGTTTAAATGAAACTCCTGTAAGGGCGGATAGAGATTGTTGGGAGGATAAGACTAGGAAGGAAATGCAAGTGAAAAATTTCACATAAAGCAAACTTCAATTTACTTTTCGCACACATTGTATTTAATTTAAGTGGAAGATACGAGTGGGAGTATGTCCCATCTACCAGGATACAAACAGGACCAACTTTCTCAGGGCCAAATATGAGATAGAAGAGCAGTTTGGGTTGGGGTCGAGGCAACTTTGATTTTGCAACACACCAACACACAGGAAAGGAGAGAGCAAAAGGAAGCGAAAACTTTTGCAGCAGGTGGCCCTAAGATATGAGCAAATGTGCTAAAGTTTCCAGTAGTTCCAAAGACTTAAAGGGTTGGCTGGCAGCCTTGCACCGCGGAGGGGGTTAGGGTTGTCCTTTCGGTATTGTAAATTTTGTCGCTGCCAGAGACCGCAAAAGATGCTTACTGCAAATTTAGGGTTTGTTGAGTTTATTATATTCCGCATAGACAATGCCACCCAAACACACACACACACACACACACACACAGAGTCGGATGCAGCTGGTGACACACATATTAAAATGTTGCATAGTTTTTGTGTGCTCAGCCAGACATAATAAACTTGCCTGCTCCTGGCTGTGTGCTCGAGGAATTTGTGTGGCAAAGGAATGCGTTCAGCTTGTAAGACAAGACATCAACACACACACACATCTACACACAAAATCTAACCCCTAGCCCATCGTCTACACATCGTTTTCTCACTTGTGGCGGCTTTCTTTCAGACTCCGAAAAACCCAAGAGGATAGACGAGTCGAGTGCAAAACTTGTCAAAATATTTTGTAAACAGTTTTTGGGTTATTTATTAAATATGAAAATCTAAAAAATAAAACGTATTTCTTGATAGTTTTAATGGAAGTTATTTGATAAAAGCAACCCATCTCAGCTGCAGATAGTTTCGAGTCATTTAACAAAATGTATTTATCAGTTTTTGGTATGCATTATTTGTTCTCAAACTTAAGCAATTATAGGTAACCATTTTACGTGCATAACAAAAAGCGCGTTGCAAGCTCTTCACAATATTAGTTGTGAAATGCAAATTAAAATTTAATCTAAAAACCAGACTAAGTTATGAGAACTTTAACGACCTTCATCCTCGTCCTCGTTCTCGTCTTTCACTGCCTCTTACGTCAGTAGAGCAATTTACAATAGAAAGATAATGAGGCAGCAAAATGCAAAAGCATAACCAAAAGCAGGAAAATTAAGTGGAGACCCATACCCCGCACCCACCCACACGCACACAGACGTTCGAATGGAGTTGCTGCGGTGTGGGTTGGGTTGAAGCTTCTCAGCTTTTTTGCACGCTTGAACGAATTTGTATGCCAGCGATGTCGTTGCCAGAGTTGCCACTTACGTGATTAATGGATTTTTAACAAGTTACACACACACGCATTGCAAAAAAAAAAGAGGAAAGCGCACACACACACAGTCACACATGTTCGGATCCACTTATCAGAGACCCCAAAAAGAGTCAAAGTAACCGAAAGGGAACCGAGAAGCGGCGGGGGGCGACTGCTGGTGAAAGCCAAAAAGCGCCACGTGTGCACACACATGTGTAGCTCCATCTGTATCTGTATTTGTGTGGGGAGGTTCTGGTTAGGGGTTTCGTGCTGCGTGGAATAGGGGTAGAAATCCTGCAACGGGATGCGGAGCCCAACTAAACTAGGATGACAGGCGGAAATGCGAATGTGACACGCGTTTTGCATGTGAAACGTCAGGAACAATGTAGAAGAAAACAGAAAAAAAATAGAAAATTCTACAACGAAGTTGCTGTGCCGCTCCCCTCCCCCCTGAGTGCCTACCTGTGTGCCCCTTTACATTTCCTGTGGTGTTGCAGGCACCGTGTTATGTCTGCCGGCACCTGATGTCGGCCCATGTCAAAGGCAATTCAAGAGTTTTTCAGTTGCCTCAAGAGCAGTTGTGTAAATTACTGTGTAAATGAATTGGGTTAACAAATCGATTGAGAAACCAATTATGAAGGTTTTGTGTGAGATTTATTTCTAAAATGTATGCCTAAAATGTATTTTAGAAAACAGATCAAATCCCCTTTTTTGCAGCTATTCCTAGAAGAGATAATCGTAAATGTCTAATTTAAAAAGTTTGGAGCCCACGTGGCTGCTTCGATGCGAATTCCTGGCGTAAACTTTCAACTCATTATTGCAGACAGCTAATGTTGCTGGTGTTGTTCCTGTTTCCTCTTGCTTCTCTGGTGACACTTATGCAAATTAGCGGGAAATCGCTGCCTTAAGGCAGGGCCCCACCCCGTGCTGCAGTGCCACTGGCAAATCGGTGGGCCGTAATTCAGCGGTAAATGTTCGCTCCAATTTCGGGCTCTTTCTAGTCGGATCTACTATACGTAGATAGCTTCTCCTTCCTGCCCTGCCCGCCTGCCTAAGCGCTCAACATGAAAATTGGGTTAACACATTAAGATGGGAAATATGTGGCAACGGTTCCTTCATTTCACTCCGCTCCATTTTCTACGCTTCCTTCGTTTCCTTCGCTGCTGTTGTCGCTGTCATTGCTCCGCGCATTCCATTCCATTCCATTTCGTTCCCCTTTCCCTTTCCCTTTTCTTGCTTACATTTCTCAGGTTGTCAGGCAATCGAATGAATCGCGACAAAGGCGGAAATAAAATTGCTAAACGAACAAAGCAAACAAAAAGAAGGAGAAAAACCGTTCTGTTGCCTAACGGTACGAGTACTTGATTCATTCGCCATCTCCCTCCAGCTCTCGCTGTAGCTGTCGCTTTCGCTGTCTCTCTTTTCGTTTCTGCTCTTCTCTGTCGCATTCTGCATTCGTATGTGCTCTATATGTCAGCCTATCTTTTGGCTTTTAGCGTCTTTTTCAACGCAATGGAATGCGAATGCGAATTGGGCCCAAGCACACAGTGGGCCTGAGAAGCCTAAAAATGGAAAGTGAATTTGAAAGAAGTAACTTTAGGACTATGAGGAACTTTACGTTGAGAGCTTAGTAAATCGAAAATTGTAGTATTTATTGCTATAAAATCTACAAACTCTAATTATATTTAATTTCTAATTTACATTTCCAAGAAATCTGATGTGGAAAATAAACAATAATTAACTTATATACTTTTATTATTTTTCTATACGTGTTTATTTATTGTATTTATGTTTATATTAATTAAAATATGCATTTAAATTACTTGAAGTCACTCCAAACATTTTTTCTTTACTCAAATTTGTGTGTATTTCCACTGTCTCTGCATTGCATTTGGCAATTTCCATTTTTGTATGCAATTTTCTTTTTTTACGTCAGTTGGCGCTGGGGATTCTTTTACACTCACTCACAGAAGTATGCACACACACACAGACACAAACATGGTCTTTCATGGTGGGGTGTCCATCTTTTATTCGTTCTTGTTCTTGTTCTTCTTCTGGCGTCAGGCAGGATCTGTTTGTGGGGTGCCTCTGCGCCTTTGTGCAACCGCGCAACAATCATTTTTGCACCGCAAATTCATTTCCGTTTGCGCTCGTTCTTGCCTATATGTATGTGTGGCCTGTGCAACAAAAGTCCGCTAATTTTGGTGCAGATTCAAGCGCCACTCTTCACTGAAGTCCTTTTTTTGTGCGCGAAAATTGGATCAAGCCGCGGCAGCAAGTCATCCGGTTCTGAACGGATTGTAATCAACGGCTATCGTCCCGTACAATGAACATGCTGAAGCATTCCATTCCCAATTGAATTGTTCAGCCTAGGTCCGAGTGCCTAGTCCATGCATTCAGCAGGTCGTTGAGTAAAGCCTCATATTTTTTTCCTGCCTGCCCGCTCACTCTTCGACAATGGGCCATTGTCTACGCCTTGGTGAGAGATATTGCCCAGCAAGTAGTCGGAATGCACAATGGATTGCTGTTGCGCTCTAATCGTTGGAGCCTTTTTTTTTGTGTGCGGAAGTAGGTTTGGCGCACAGGATTCAACGCATCTAAGGCGCGACATTTGTCTTGATTCAAATATATTTCAGCAAATCAATGGCAAACATTGAAACATTCCAGACTTCAGATGACAACGGAGGAGTACCGCTCTGTTTATTATCGAAATAATATACTCAAACATCGATTTCAATTACAAAATGCCTGTACACTCATTTGGAAAATGGAAAATGTCATGGCAGAGTCGACCAAATTAGAATTGACCCAAGGAGTAGTTAATATTTTATGTGGTTGGTCTGTGGGATCGGGGTGGGGTCGGGGTTGGAGTGGTTTGGGGGGCCTAATCATGCTTATGAGACCACAAGCATTGAATGATGAAATGCAATTTGCTTTGTCATGTTTGCCTGTGGGTGGAACCGTGCCGAACCCCATCTCCATCGCTCCCATTGCCAGACTACGAGTGGCCTGGGGGGCAGAGTTCAAATGCCTCCACCTGGTTAACAACTCTCGCAGCGTGTGTGTGTGTTTGTGTGTGTGTGTGTGTGTGTGTGTGTGTGTGTGTGTGTGTGTGTGTGTGTGTGTGTATAAGCGCGGTGCATCAACTGCAACTGCAAACTGAAGTTGTGGCCCGCTCAGTTGATGTTTGAAGCTCAGTCACAAGGCAATTCACATTTGGGTTTTTGGCATTTGACAGTTTCGACATTTTCCTGTTCGACCCCTCAGTCCACTGCATTGAGGAGGACTGCTGTGGGAGGTCGGGGGTTGTTTCACAAAAGAAAAACCTTGGTCAATAGCATGGAAATTCAAACCGTCAACTGTCCCAGTCCCAGTCCCATCTAGGGATAGTGAGTGAGTGTCCTGGAATCCCTGAATCCTCAATCCTCAATCCTGAATTGGCTGAGTCAGCATCATCGAATGATGTGGGGAGGGAGTACGTACTGAACTTGAAGTTGTAGCCCTGTAACCCTTCCAGAGTCAGAAAGTCAATGAAAAATGACAAAAGCTAAGCCCCCGAATGTTGATGGATGTGAGGGTGCAACGCTTCAATAATTTTTTTATCCTGCAATGGCTGCCACTTCACAGACACATGCAGGATCTGAGATACAGTGGGATGCAAATGGCGGCGACAAACATAAATTTTCCCGCTTCATGGGAGGAACATGAGAAGTTTGCCTGATTTGCTTAGCTATTCAGAAAAGCCATTTACCGTCCTGTCAGCCTCCCTTTTGCCGCATCAGGCATCAGGCATCAGGCAGCAACGCATCAATGCATCTCTCTGGTGGGGAGTGTTCTTTTCTCTGATTGCCCCTGGGTATTCCTTTTTGGTCGCCTGATGACGTGAGACATTGAAAGTAGACTGGCGCTGGTGCTGGCACCGGCAGGAGCTGGCAAGATCGAAGGGTCACCACCGACCACCGCACACATCCCTCAGCCACTTCCTACCGTTTTTGGCATTACGAGTATTCATGAGGAGCTCCTGCAATTTGCCATCTCAATTGGCAATGCAAAGGCATTTCATGGAGAAGCAAATGTCTTTTGTAGATGCGAATAGCCAGAGCCTTTGCTGTGGCTATCCCTCAGGGGGATAGAGAATAATTCCCATTCTTCCAGGGTATATAATCTTCGTTGCTCTGAGCAGGCAGCACACAAAAACTTTTATTCAAAGTGTTAAATTTATGCACATCTTCATTCATCTTCATTGGAATCGCATTTACATACAGGAATGCCATTCTGTGAATCCTAGAAAAATTGCGCAAAATAAATTCTCGCATAAAACCCAAGCCGCATAAATATCAGAAATAAATGAGCAATGCCAATGAGGGCTCGTAAAATTTAATCAAACATAAATAAAGCACAATCTGGGAGTGGGTAGAGGTTTTTAATCGTGCCTAATGTATGGAAAGAATATCATTTGCTTCGGGGTTTTAGGCTGCGGTTTGGTTTCTAGTCTGCCAAAGATGCGTATGAGTAATTCGAAATCTTATTTTCGCTTTCGTTCGCACTTCTTGGTATGGGTCTAGACGCAAGTCAGCGAAGTTCCTTGCATTGTATTGTGTTTGTTTTGTCTACACGATACTTTTTTGTGGGTCAAACCACAAAAATGGCGTCGGTAGCGATGGCGACATGAATTTTATACCCGTATCTCTGCTGATGCTGCTGATGCTGCTGCTGCTACTGCCACCATCCTCTTTGGCCTCGTTAAAGGTGGCTTTCAATCTATTTTATGACAGACCCTCCACACACACTTTCTTCACTTTCGCCTTGCCCAGTTTCCAGCCCTGTCTCTTGCCGCTCTTAGTCTCAGCTCTTCTGGCAGCACACCCTCGTTTGCTTCTTCATTTCTGAGAGCTTGTCGACCACAATACTGTTATTTATGTGGAGATGTGGCTTTTGTTTTGCCTCTCTTTGCGCTCGGTTGATATTTGAAAAGGGTCGGCTTGGGTCCTTGGCCTGCGGGTTTCTCCAATGCCATTTGTTTTCCTCCTTGATGGCTGGCAACGCGGCTGATTTGTTTGCTCCTCGTTGGCCGATTAAAGATATTTTACCCAACAAAACAGAGAGAGAGAGAGATTCGAGATTTTTAAACGAATTGAAATTTGTTTTGCCAAATAAGAAGCCCGCGAGCTGTGGAAAAGTTTCACGTATGTGAAGGGATTATGAGGGGATTTTGTTGTAAACTTAATGAATGTTTTTTCTTTTCACTAACGCTTGGAAGTTGCTTGAGACTTATTTTAATCTCACTACCTTATGGTTCATTTGATATACAAAGAAATGATGTAGGAAAGCAGCTTAAAAGCTAACAACATTTATACACATATATAAATTGAAATTCGTAAATTATCATAAATACCAGAATGTGCCACTTGAAAGCGTTGAGCATTGGGCATTGGGCATTTGCATTTGGTTGGGTTTATGCAGGCGCAAAACCACGAATCATTTTGAGGTTCCACGGGCAATGGCCACAAACCGCAAATATTTCAAACCATGGCCAGACATCAAATGCCTCCGACTGATGCCTGTTTCTGCCTGATTTGCCTAGTTATCGTTAACACACATATTGTGTGTGTGTGTGTGTAGATTGTGCAAACGTTGTGCAATTGCTTCCTGCATTTGCAGGTGTATCCTGCCATTAGCCCCAATTTTATGTTTCATTTATTTTCCACAGAATCTATTTCGCAAATATTCGTATAATTTTTCGGCAATATTATGATTTTGCTTAAAGCTCCTAGGAGGAATATTTAACTAGCTTTTGATTCATGAAATGTGAAAATCTGCATACATTTGGATAATTGAAAATTGTTTTAGGTATTAAAAATATTTTAAAAATGTAATTAAATAACGATTTTTAGTTTTGCAGGTTGCAGAATTTCTTTCTCCACAATTTTGTGAATATTTCAGATAACATTTTTGTACATTTATTTCGCATAAATTCCCAATGTGGTATCTATTGCTGTGCAACATTCTTTCTGTAACATCATCCTGTGTGCTCCGTGCTCTGTGCTGTGTGCCTCATTATCGCACAACGTTTCATCTTCACTAAACATAAACGTAAACGTTTTCATAGCACCGGAAGCCTCTCTCTCGCACACACACACACACACACACACACACACCGGTACTCCCTTTTATATTTGCCAACTGCATTTAAGCTGAATAATAATAAACTGGAAAAGCAGCGGCAACAACTACTCGCACTATGGGATAGCTGCTAAATGTGCAATGGCTGACAGCACGAGGAAAAGCAGTGAAAATCCTTGCGTAATCGTTGCCGTTCGCTGCGTTTCGCTGCGGGTAAAACACACACACACACACACACACACACAGAACACACACTTTGCCGTGTGGAAAATATTTATGAGCTCGGTTTTCACGCCAAATGCGTTCTTTAAAATGCTCAAACATCCAGGCAACCCCCCATTGCATCCGCCAGCAGAGCTTGTAGCGACCCCACAGGCTGCCGCTCCCTTTGCTTTTCCGCTTTGGCATTTTCCGCGACATTTTCACAAAACGTTGCATTTGCTGTTGCACATTGCATTAGTCTGTGTGCGTGTGCGTGTGTGTGTGTGTGTGCTCATGCACCTCTATGTGTGTTAAGCATTGCGTTAAAGTGTTTATGTGTGTTTGTGTGCATTAGAAGCCAACAAGCGACAAGAGGAGCGCGCAACTTCCAACAGTTTCTATACTCTATACTGCCACCACAGTTGTGTACGTTTTTGCAGAAGTTATTTACTTGAAATGTACTCTTTAGATCGCATCGTAGGAGTAGATAGAGGAGCTACCAAAGCGCAGTCCAAGATCGTTTATCTTTCTGGGGAACTTTAGCGTATCTAAAGATCAACTCTTTGCTTGCTTTCTACTTTCCATTTAACCAACTTTCCGCCAACAGTCAACAGCCTCTGTTACCACCTGCCCAGGTCCAGGCCTTGTTCCCTTTATATGCTAATTTTGTTCAGCGCATTTCGTTATATGAGTAGAGACCGAGAGAGAGAGAGAGAGAGAGAGAGAGGGGAATGCAGCTGCTGCTGATGTTGCAAGTTCGCTTGAACGTTGCCTTTTGCCGTTGTCATAATTAAAACTCGCTGCATAATTGCCAAACAATGGCCATGTCCTGTTCTACAGAAGTACAGCAGAGAGAGAGAGGAGCTGACATACTGGCGCTACACACAGTCACCCATCCTTGGCCCAGGGGCAATTACAGGCCTGACAGTCGCAGGCCCAGCAAATACACATGGAGAGCATTCTGCTGCAACTCTTCTGCTGTTACAAATAGTGCAAATCTGTCAGTTTCCGCAGACCAAATTTGGATAATATTGAACCAAAATCGAAGCAGCATATTGGAAAAATATGAAGCCTGATTTGTTGCTACTTGAAAGGCGTAAAAAATATGATTGATGGAGCTCAAGGTGTGACAATGAGCTGCTAAAAAATTGCCTCTCTGTGCAGAGGAGTTTGCAGTTTATCTTTCGAGAGTAATCGAAGTGTGAACAAACAATCAATAGCACTCCACCATACAGCCAAAAAGAGCTGAGGCTCTACTCAATTTTCCATTCTGCATGCAAAATCATTTGCACGCACACAAAATATGCATATGCATAAATGTATTTACTCTTAATGTACATATCTATTCATTTATTTATTTAAAATTGTACGCTCTTTTTGCCGCATTGAAAAAAAGGATCGAAATTTTGGGAAAGTTTTGGGGTTTCTGGTGGTCCTTGCTGATTCCATGACACGGCAGCCATAAAATACTCGACCAAAGTGCACTCACACCCGTTAGCATGCCCCCCAACCACACACACACACACCCGTACACACAAAGTGGGAGCCACACGTAGTTGTGGTTTCAATAATCAATGAGTTGATTTTATGAAATTTTCCGTGCACCTCAGATGGCAGTGGGGCCACGGCACCCACCCACTCGTTGGGGTTTTCATGTGAGTGCAAATTTTATTAACGAGCATTTTTGGGGAATTTTTTTTGAAGCTGACAGAGAAGGCTAAAAGGAAAGTCAAAACATAGCGCTTTGTGCTCTCTGCTATTTCCCTCGCACTACCCAAAAAGGTCAAATGAATTTTAATTAATTTTTTAATTAATTTCCCGCAACATCCACAAGGCGTCGGACATGGGCCCGAACTTTTAGCGAAATGAAAGCCGAAAGGAAATCACAAATTCTATTAGTGGGGCGGGGCGGAAAATGTAAACACACTTATTGTGCCTTTGTGCTTATTATATGCTCATGCTGATATCCTTTGTCTGTTCTTTTGTCTTTTGCAGAAATACGGTATTTAATTTAAGCATACACGATCTCGCTGAACAGCAGCGGCTGGTCTGGACATCGCCGGAAGATGATACCAAAATGTGTCTCGTCAAGGGTAAAGATGAGGTGAGTAAAGCAATAATTATATTTAATATATTTTAATTTGTAGAGCATATTTTATGGATATTAAAGCAGAAAGATTTTCATGACAACTTTCTTGTACTCAATTCGAATTCAATTTTGAAGGCAATCTGCGACCAGCACCTGGCATGCGACTTTTGTCCGCAGTTAGTCATCAAAATACATAATTATTAGTGTTCTGTTGTTTTGTTCGGTGTAAACTTTTTAGCACTTTGGCCTGGATGGATGGCCTTGCAGTTCCCATTTCCAATCGCATTCGCATTTTCATTTTCATTTCCATTTCGATTTCAACTTTTGCTGTTGCTTCCGTTGCAGCGCAAGAAAATTGAGAAAACAAAGCAATAAAGTGTTCGCTCTCTCCCGCACTTTCTCCTGCAATCTCTGTGCCATTCTAGCTGCAGTTTTTTATGCGCTAAAAACATGCTAAACTATGAGAAGCTAGCAAGAAATTGATTTATGCAACTTTTTCTGGTGTTGTTTGCCTCCTGTTTTTGTTTTCTCTTTCTTTGTGGCTAAGAAATCTGGAAAATTTATTGGAAAGTGCTGGCTAACAGAGGTACTAACAGGAAAGAGAGAGAAAGAGAATTTGATTGTGCAATGAGAGAGTTGAAAAATCAAAGCCCAAAAGCAAACTTTTGCTTAATGGAAATGGCAAACATTTTGGTTTTCAAATTGGTCTCTTGCAATGTTCTGCTGCTTCTGCCGCTCGCTGTTGCGCTTCCGTTTCCGGTCAAGCAAGCCAAATGGTGGCACACACACACAAATATACAAAATCCGTGGTTTATTCCCCTTAGTTTCCTTAAGCTTTCATTAGGACTTGGGGTTTGAAATAAAGTAACTAAAATTGATCGATATACCGATATAAGGGCTACACAGAATCTATACTCGCATATTAATATTTATTATTATTATTGATGATCATCCCAAATGACTTTTGAGAGGGTATTTACAGCCGACTTTCTGGCTCAGTTCTTCTTCTTTTTGCATGCCCAAGTGCACTTCAAGTTTGGCTTTTTCTGACGTAATTAGCCAACACTTGTTGGCTGGGCGGTGCCCCAGTCAGTGCAATGCCAGTGGCTACAGCTCCACAGGGAGAAGTGAGAAGGGAGAAGCAAAACATTAGCAGGTGTAATTTGTTGAACTCAATTTGCTTGCCGACTTCTTGAAGGGGCCTTGGCTTTGGCACCACCGACCCACCCACTCACTGTGGTGCTGGTTCGTGTTATTTATGGCATCAAAGCAAAAAAAAAAAAGAAGTAGGAGAGTATGAAAGTTTCTTTAGATTGGGCGCCGTTCTCAAAGAACGGGGGAGCGGATTTGTGGCGTGCATGTTTGCCATTTGCAGCAAAAGCGTTTTTTCTTGCTCCAAATATAAATTGCAATTGTTGGCCAAAGAAGTGGCGCAACAAAAAATGTAAAAGAACACAAATAGAAAAGTTCAAAATTTACAATTTTAATTAACTGACATTTTGGCCACCAATTTGGAGTCAAATTAATGCTAAAAATAGGGAATACTTCTAATGCAATATACACAGTCTCATATACAGACATAAGTCACGCCATAGAAAGCTAAGGAAATTAAGGAAGAATATTCCCACATAAATGCCACAGGAATTGCTTAATTGAAGCTCAGTTCAGGCTGTGTGTTGAGTCGATAATGTGTGGTGTGTGTGTGTGTGTGTGTGTGTACACCAAATGTCACGTTGTTGGAATGTTTTCTTTTCCATTTACCCCGGGTCGCCTGGGTGGGGTGTTAAATATTTAATTGATTGATTTTTTCGCCGCAATATTTTATTAAAACTGCGCAAACAACACTCATAACAGCCAACATCCCGCCACTGTCTGCCCAAAATGAGCAATCAACACACATGCACACACATATTTATCTGCAGGTATATATTGATTTAATCCATAAACTGGCAAATGGCAACTTATAAAAGATTCAACCGCTGCTGCTGCATTGTGGGACTGAATATATTGAATATTTGAACACATTTATGGCTGAAAAAATAATCGTAAATCCACTTAAAAAATATTTTATTAATTGCTCAAGTCAAATATAAGTATTGGTGATGGTAAAAACATCTCTTGGAATGTTAAAAGGAATTCCCTCCATTTTTAATCCACATTAAACGCAGATGGAAAGGCGCCTTCAAGCCTTTGGCGAATGCACCACAAAACCATCTCAGCTACGTTGCCATTTGTGCGGCTCTTGTCTGCCATCATTAAGCGTTTGATTTGGTTTGCAAATTGTTTTCCACTCTGCTCTCAGAATTTCTCCCATAGCCCAGAGCAGACTCATGATGGAAGGATTGCCCTCCCATTGAACCCACTTTGTACGCATTGTTCAATGGGTGAATGCTCCTGCATTTAGGCAGAAGAGAGCCTTTGGAGCCTCAGTTTTGGGGTTAGTGTCTAATCCAGGCCTCATTCATGTCTGTTCATCCGATGGACTCACTCATTTATCTCACTTGTTGTTCCGTGTGCGGAACTGTTTTCTGGTCGCCCACTGATAAATCACAGTTGCCTGCTGGCATTCGAAAGTTTTCGTTTTTGACATGTTTCAGGGCTACCTTTTTTGCTGATAAGCTTTGCTCCAAAAGTCAAACACAAGTCACATAATTATGTGCCAAATGAGTTTTGGAATTGTAACTTAAAGTGAGATTCAGAGAATCCTTCTTCAAATCAAATCGGACATACCCAAATATCAGGCAAAAGTAATATTCTTGTGCCGCATCAATCACACTCAGCTCATTTCTGAAGGAAAGAACAGGAGGGAGGCGGAAGAAAACTTTTGCAGAAAGTACCAGAAAATTGTGTGGCTGCCAAAGCGCCTGCAGGTAGGCAACAATTTCGTTAATGATACACAAACACGACCAAGGACCAACTCAGAGAAAGGGAGAGTCTGAGGGAAGGGCAAGAGAGAAGCATTTTACTTCATAATTTTTAAACATGAAAAATGAATGACAGGCCGAGGACAGCCGGAAGGCAAAATGCTGGATTACATTTTGACTCGATTCGCTCCCTCCCCTCAACTCGGTCTCCCTCCCGCCCTACACCAAGCTCCCGCTCGTTGCCCATTTCATATTTCATACATTTTCAGCCGGAAATCAATATTCGGAAATATTTGTTGGCCAACATTCCCCAGCCTTTTCGGTTATCTCTCGCATATTTGCAAATGCTAAAAACAAAATGAATAAAAACTATTTCCAAACCCAAATGGAGAACGACAAGGACAATGCGCACTGCCATGCGCAGGAGGAGGAGGACCAGACACAGCTGCAGCGGCATCTGGGCGATCTGAAGCTGAAGCTGAGCGACACCGAGCAGCGGCTGGACAATGAGACGCAGCTGCGGCTCCAAGAGGCTGAGGAATGGCAACAGTTCAAGGCGGATCTGCTGACGACCGTGCGTGTGGCAAACGACTTCCAGTCTGAGGCGCAAATCGCTCTCGAGCAGCTCGAGCTCGACAACAAGATGCAAAAGGAGACGATTCGGTCGCTGGAGCAGAAGCTGAAGAAGCTCTCCACCGAGCCGGTCCAGCAGCAACCGCAGCAAACCTTCGCTAGCGATGAGCGCAAGGATCCACTGAATATGCTGGCCAAGAAATGCGGCTCCAAGAGGAATGCACTGCTTAAGTGGTGCCAGAACAAGACGGAGGGCTACCGCAACATTGACATCACGAACTTCAGCTCATCGTGGAACGATGGCCTGGCCTTTTGTGCGCTCCTTCACTCCTATCTGCCAGATCGCATACCCTACGATCAGCTCTGTGAGGCGAACAAGCGACGTAACTTTTCGCTAGCCTTTGCCACCGCCGAATCGGTGGGAATTGCCACCACACTGAACATCAACGATATGTGCCAGAGTGAGCGACCCGACTGGAGGCCGGTGATGTCCTATGTGATTGCAATCTACAAACACTTTGAGCCCTAGATGGACCTACAGTTTTTTGTGTATATTTTGTATCAGTATTTGAAACTATAAAGAACAAAAACTAAAACTAAACTGCAATAAATAGAAATTCCTTTAGCAGAAACCGATAGTTGGGGGGAGAGAGATAGTTGGAATAAGAGATATTTTATGGGATAATGGTATGTAAAACTAAAAGCAAAAATTATTTATTAACCAGCAGAAAACAACAACCGGCGGCAGCCGCAACATTTCTACTGAACATTAATCAATTTTCCAGTTAATTGCATTCTAAACAATGAGCCCTGGTATATGTGTGTCTGCTATGCGTGTTAATTACAACAGAAATAATGCGAGTACATATGTACATATTTAGGCACAAATATACAAGTCCTACAACAAACAAGTGCAGACCCAACCAGACCCCTCTTTTCCGTAATTGTTTTGTTAATTTATTTAAGTTTATGTAGCCAACAACATTTGTTCTCGTTGTGCACACAGAACACAGAACAAGGCGGAAAACTTGTTAAAAATGTCAAAACAATAAACCAAATGAAATGGAAACGAAATAAAAATAGGAAAGGGAGTGGAATTGGTATGCAGACAAGTCAATGAACTAAATACATATTTTTACAGAATTATTGGAGCAAATGTTGTCAAAACTAAATTAAAGTCAGCGTTGGGCAACATTTTTAACACGAACAAGAGGGAAGTTTGTGGCAGATTAGCAGATATTTCTTCGCTCTTTTATGTGCTATGATAAAAGTCACATTTCGGTTTGTTTAAATATATCAAAGAAATGTTGACACTTTGGATGGAGCTTAGCTAAGCTGCAGCTTTGACCAGAGAGACAAATCACCTTCATAAAATACGCCAGAGAGTGAAATCATTGCCCCAATTACGCAAAATGCGGCATGCTGCATGCTGCATGCACAGAATCTTGTGAATAATTTCCATTATATTGTACGGGTATGTACGTGTATGCAATTATTTTCATGCCCTGCCCCTGCTGCAGTGGGGCAATCAGAACAATGGCATTATTGTGGCCAAGGATGCCAACGGGTGGATAGGCAAATGACAGAAACCAAAGCGACACAGAATGTGGTATCAACATGGGCTTGCTGCTGCTGCTGCTGCTGCTGCTGGCTGGTTGGTTGGTTGCTTGCATAAGAATGACAGCGAAAAACTGTGCAAATTAGTAGGCAAACAAACAAAATGTTTAAATATTTTATCGCAGAGAAGCACAGAGAGAGAGAGTGCACGATGCGGAATGCAGAATGGCAACTGCTGTCGGGAGGGAATATTGCAAATGATTTGTCATGTCAGAGTGCAAACACTTCCGGCTGTAATGGCTGTGGAGGCTGCCGAGTCGGTGGAGAGCGGTGGCTAGGTGGGGAGGCAGGTGAGAGTTTATATTCCTGGCAACAATTTTCCGCAACTATGGGAAAAAGTTGTCATCGTTGTCGTTGTCGTTGTCGCTGCGTATTCTCCCTACTTGCTACCACACCCGAACTATGCTAAATGGGAGCAAGTTACACATTTGCCTTTTAATATTTATTGAGTTGCAGCTGCCGCACCGCTCCTCTCCTCTCGCTCTCCCACTGTGTGTGTGTGTGTGTTTGAAGTGCATTCGTTACGCATTAAATATTTCAATTTGCAAAACATTTATGCAAAGCACACACACAAGGAGGAGAGTTTAGTTCCAAAACACACACACACACACACACACAGAGAGAGAGAGAGAGAGAAATTTTCATTCAGGTCAAGCCTTCTGGCTAGAGCCTGCCTCTGGCAAAAATTGGTAAAGCCTCAAGACGACCCTGGCCTGGCCTTTTGTGCAACTTTTTGCTATACCCAATTCCCATTACGCAAAAGCTACTTCAAACGCCTCCGGGCTGGGCTGTAGGGTTCTACGTATTCCGAATTAAAACTTTTAATGGAAGCTTTTAACTAAGAACAATTTTAGTTTGGAGCTCTGACACAAAGAGGGCAAAGAGGCCCCGAAATATTCTGACAAATATGTTCTTAAACTTCCACTGATTCCTTTTTGATACCAATAGCCCTAGAAAGCCTCTCTCTGATTTGCTTTTTCGCTATTCTTCTTTTTTACAGGAGGCCTGCCAGAACTATATCCGCATCATGGTGGTGCCATCGCCGGGGCGCCTCTTTGTGTGCGGCACCAACTCGTTCCGGCCCATGTGCAATACGTACATGATCAATGAGAACAACTACACGCTGGAGGCAACCAAAAATGGCCAGGCTGTGTGCCCCTACGATCCCCGTCATAACTCCACCTCCGTGCTGGCGGGTAAGTGCACATTTTACTCACCCACAGAATGCTTATATAAACATACAAAGTCCCCTTATATTTTATTTTTTGTAAATTCTTTTTCGTTTCGAATAATTTATTATGGGGGAAGCTTCTCCATTTTTGTTTTGTACGTGGAAAATGTCTATTTTGTTTTGTTTGCCGAAACAAAAGGGTTTAAACAAATATTCATACGTGTGAGTGTGAGTGTGATTGTGGGTGTCAAGCAGCCACTCACACTCGCACCCACTTCTGCCATACATATACACAAATCGGATAAAAATTGTCATTCATCATGCGATGCGATACAATGGGATGCCTGCCTGGACCTTCTGAACATTTTTTCAACTGCGTTTTTTTTTTGGCCCTGCGTTGAATTCTTCGATGAGGTCGCATGATACATTTTTAGTAGCATGGTCGATGCCTGACTGCCAACCTGCGAATTATGTGCCAAATATATATTTCGTGGACACTCTGCAGCAAGAATGCGGAAGCGCTACCCATAACCGATAAAAGGATTTCGAAATTTCCCATTTGCTTGATATTTGATTGAAATTTATGGCCTGGCACCAGGTGGCTGTGTGTGTGTGTGTGTGTGTGTGTGTGTGTGGCTGTGGGCTTATATTCGCATCTCAAGTGCATAAATTCACATGGAAGACCAGCACATTGTGGGCATATTTAAATGAATAAAACTAAATGGAAACCATAGATAAATGTGATAGGTTTTACACTGCAGATACTGCAGTGGAATGCCATAATCTAAATTTGATCTCCGATGCAAGTTAGTAATATTTTCTAGCTAGTAACATTTCGACCCCACATCCAACCAATAAACAGACACATTTTGTGGGCATCCCTTCGCCGCCATGTTACATAGTTTTGATAGTATTTCCACTTGGCACCCATAAATCGACAGTCGCTTTTGGCGGCATGTTGGGAAGTTTTCGCGCTGTGATTTGTTTGCATTTCATTGTCTGCAGCTGCAGCCAAACCAACAAAAACTTTCCTACGGCCAGAGGGGAAGAGCGAAGTAGATAGAAAGAAAGAGCGAAGGAGAGGGCATAGATAATATTGATAAACGTTTATAACTAACTTGAAAGTGTGCGAGGAGCAGCAGTAGCACATGTGCTTCCCAGCTTTCTGGCTTGCTAGCTTGCTGGCTGGCTTATTGGTGTGAGAAGGGACCAAGTGTTGCCACAAACTTCCGCCGGATGCAGCTATCATCCATGTGTTTGGGTGTGTGTGTTGGCTTGGCTCTTTGCCCAGTTTTCGCCTTCCCCACCATGTGGGTTGTGGGTCATAAGAGTTTATCATCAACAAGCTGCCACATCCTGGCCAAAAACGAAGCCCAACCTGAAGCCCGTTGTCAGGCGCCGTTTTCTTTATTGCTTGCCGCAATTTATATACCCCTTAGAAGGTGACACGATTATTTCGGGGTATATGCGCTACGCGGTGCGGTTTGGTTTTGCGCAGTACGAAGCGGCTCTTGAATTTATCCCATTTTGGGAGGCATCAAGAGGCATTTTTCTAGCCTTCATCCGTCTGCGGTTCTCCGAAGCATTTTCCTTGATTCATCCGCTTTTTGTTCCTATTTCACTTTGACTTGCTCTTCATGGTGCTAATATTAAATCGACATTTTTACATACACACACACCGCACACACCGCACACACCACACCCCCTGCCCACTGTCGTTAGTCATTTGGCGCCCGTCCTGACAGGATTTTCGGATATTAGCGAAGGGAATCGGCCTGGACGGCATCGGGATGGGATGCTTAGCTGGGGCATGTTGTTTAGATTACAAATTGCCCCGGACACAGACAGTGCATATAAAAAATCCCATCGTGCTGCAACAAACAACAACAACAGCAACAGCCACTACGAAGAGGATAAAAAACTGTACCAACAAAAAAAATCGAACCATTTCGGGGTGTGGGGTGTGGGGTGTGGGAAAAAATTGCCAAAACCCCGAACAAGCTGAAAAATGTTATCAATTCAGTTTTTATTCGTGACAGGGCGTTGATGTCAGGGGCTGACGGTCGGTGGGCGTGGTCGGTAACTGGCACAAAACTTTTACTCCCCCTATCGCCCCCCCCTCTCTTTTTTAACTCTCCAAAAAAGTTGGTTGACAACATTTTTGTGCCAATTTCGTTGTAAAAATATTGTTGTAACCATGATGAAGTTTTCAATTGCTTTTTCCACCAATATACGACATCTCCGCATGGGTATTTCCCCAATTCCCTACACCCTGCTCCCTCGTTCCAGTGCCAGTTCCATTTTGCCACACTTCGTGCTTCAATGCGAGCAGGAGGAAGGAATCTATTTTTGTTCGGTTTAAAAAGTGCATCTGAAATAAATTTCTATTGCCCGACAGTGTCACTCATTGATCCGTGGATGGCCGCCACTGGCCCTAATACCAAAACGTTGTAAATAAAAATCATTAAGAGCACGAACCAAAAAGAGAGAAAAGGAAAAGAGCTGAAAACGAAAGAGGAAACACGTATTAGCTAGCTTTCCCGTTTAATTTGTTAAATGCTTTCACTGGGAATTAGAGCAGAGAATTCGGAGATGGTTCTGGCCCTTTTTGGCTTCAGCAGTTCGTTTCCAATGAAGATCTTTGCCATTGAACCCCACTCTATTGGCAACTGCATATTTTTTATGGGGTCAACTGGCCCCACTTTGTGGTATTTTGCTGCTTTGAATATTAAAATGGACCCCCAAGGGGCTCACCATTTTGATGCCCTCGACCTTTGTGGCACTTGAAAATATGGCTTAAATGTCTTACCAATTCGCACACGCCTCAGAAAACAATGCAAAGAATAGTAATAAATAATTTATAAGTGCGCATTTGCCACATTAATCACGAGCCAACGCTGCCGCCAGCAGCAACAACGTCGAAGCAAGTGGCAGAGCCGTCAGTTGGGGCGAAAAAAGGCGGAGAATGGCCAACAACGAACGGAGCCAAATCCCTTGGCAGCAAAGTTTTCCCGCTCCAAAGCCGACGCATATTAATTTCGGCACACTCAACCCCGTGGATCCTGAGCCTGCCCTGTTGGTGGGTTGTTGGGCTTCCTGGGCGCGCCATCTCCTGGCCAATGGCATTGGCCCGGGCACAGCGAAGCGTACAAATTGCCATCACTTGCGTTCAATTTTAGACTTTTCCAAGCAAATGCACAAACGCGATTAAAATGCTGACGAATGGCACGGGAAGAAAGGGGAAAGGGCTGTGACATGGGATTGTTCTGGCGGAAACAAGGGGCAAGGCGAAAGGCGAGTGGCAAGGCATGGGGTCAGACATTGGCGTCAACGAAAAATGTCAAGGACTCGGCAGACCGTGCGGACCGTGAGCCCTGAACCGGGAACAACATTGAAAAACGGTCGGGCCAGGATGAGGACCAGGACCAGGACCAGCACCAGCACCAGCACCAGTCAAAGGAGCATGACCACGACCGGCATTGCTACCGGTACCCAGATTCAGGACCAAGCTGCATTTGCATATCACGCAAAACCGCTCCAATTTCGCACCACATTGCCTGTCGATTTTTGGTTCTGCAGGTTAAGGCCTCCAATCCGAACTTCCTGCCATCATGGCCCCACCATCCTTGGGCCTTGGCTATTTCTGTCAGAGTATGTGTGCGTGCTGGCAGAAACTTGACCTTTTTCATTATACATAAGCCCTAGCCGAAAAACAAGAGTTGAAGTAGCGCATAGTCGGTAAATATTTATGTTTAATCGGGAATTTATAATTAGCAAAGATATTTTGCATACATGAATACACAAGTGTCAGATGCATATGCATGAGAAGTGGTGGAATTCAAATGAAGAGATATGTATTTCGCGACGAATTGTGAAGTTTTAGAGCTGATAATGCGAGTACTGTGAGTAATGGAGCTACAATGATAGAGGAACCTATGCAGAATTGATATAAAATGAATCATGATGAGACTCTAGCTTTAGCTAGAGATTTTGGATTATACCATTTGGTTCCATGTTTGTTTAAACTTTTTCTCACTTCTTAAATTTTGCAACAGCAAGTAAGGAACAGCCAAGGGACACAACCCGAAAATTCGTGTTGGCACAATGCGAGCCAACGGGTAACATATGGTGCGCTAGGCTCGCTCTAGCGTGGGCGTGGTACCATCGGCATATAAAATGAATATCAATGAACAGCCCGTGCAGGAAAAACACTCACCCACGTGCGCACGCGACAATAAAACAGCAGCACTGCTGCTCTCCACACGAGAGAAATAATAAAAACAGAAAAAACAGAAACATAAACCGGAACAATACCAAAAGAGAACTGGGTCACGGCTTTCAGATACTCCCTATCGTGGAGGGACGCAGGGCTGTGCACCCCACCAGTCAGCCACTCACCCCCATACGTGCCGTGTTGCCGTGCCTATGACTCATGCGACCAATGCAGCCATTAAGTTGTTTACCGAAGATCTTCCAATGGGAAAGAAAACTGTATTTGGAGGCGTTTCGTTCAACGTCCTCGATAGTATAGTGGTCAGTATCCCCGCCTGTCACGCGGGAGACCGGGGTTCAATTCCCCGTCGGGGAGAGATGTTAAAGTCTTTTTTTATATTTTTTTTTCTTATTTTTTATTAAAAATACATTAAAAATAGTTATAGATAAGTTATAGTTATATAGTTATAGGACCAGACTGCGAGGCCTGGATAGATACATTTTGTACACATCTTACATAGCATATTCTTCGTTTGATTGTATTTTCATACACATTCTGAAATATTCTAAATTGAAACTATCAAACGGAAATAAAAGAAAAAAAAAAGCCTTTCACATCTCTCCCCGACGGGGAATTGAACCCCGGTCTCCCGCGTGACAGGCGGGGATACTGACCACTATACTATCGAGGATGTTGAACATCCCTTGTCAGATTTATGTTTTGTTCTAAAAATAGAGCAGCCCTAGACCCCAATAGATCGTAGAGCCATTTAGGAATGTTGTTGGAACATTTCTAATTGCATATTTAATCCA